CCACGAGAGAAAAGTTCTCGGAAGTCGTTGGTCTCTGGCTAAAGATGGTGCATTTTTAATTACAGCAATCTCTTTTTTCTGTGGTTTTGTTGAAATGCGGTTTTTGACTTTAGAAGATAATTGGATGACTCATGTTATAAGAAATTCCGTGATTATGAAATCTTCATGATTCCTTTTTTGTACATATCAATTAAATTTCCATTCCATATTTCAACATGGGATTTCCCCTAGTTTTCTGACCAGTACATGACCAGTACATCAAAACCAGGAACCAATGGTGCCCATCAAACTCGTTTTCTCGACTTCTTTCTTCTTGGTGATGAGCCCCCCGTGTGTGTGTGTTCGATGGAATTTAAAATTTATGGAATTTAAGTCGTCTTCTGAAGAAAAGGGAGACCCTTGAGGCTTCTATGACCCAACCCTCTGCAAAAAACCCGAGGTCATTTGACCTTTATATTCTAGCATCCCTCTAAAATGAAAATTAATCCAGAGGATTCATTGTCTCATCAAATATTTTTCCCCATCTCACACAGAATTCGGTTCCAAATTAAATGTTATGGTTTTTTTCTTCAGTCTAATCCATCCCATTCGTTTTCCTCTTTCTAGACCAATATCTTATGTGTCCGTGTCTGTAAAAATGAAAATCCTCTATTTCCCCCCTTTCCCTGGGCTTTTCCCCATTTTCAAACCCAAAAATGATGTCAGAACCAAACCGGCAAAATGAAAAAAAATCCTCCCCCCACATTTTTCCAAAAAAATGGAACAAAGACTGCAGAAAAGAAAACAAAAAGGACCTCTCAATAGTTGGATTAATTTTAACAAATTTTCTTTTTTCCACCCTCTATGTCTCATAAATAAAATAAACGATTCTTCTCCAACTTTTCGATTTTTGATCTTACCTAAAAATTTAAAAATTTATATTCCCCAAGGCGGAATCTTTTGTTGAATGACCTCGTCTTTTTTGGGAACTCACTGATTTCGTGATATGAATTTTATAGTGTCCATGTCATCTGAAAAAGCTCATTTTTAGTTCCTTGACGCGTTTCCATCATTAGAAAAAAAAAGTAGTTTTGTGCTTCAACCGTCACTGTGATTAATTGGATTAATTTAAGTCATTCTGAAGAGTTTTCTTTTAGAAATAAAAATAGGTGGTTACTAAAATTAGAATTCTGAAAATCACTCTAGTCATCAGAGGAATCCATTGAATAGAATTAGTGTCAATCATCGCCTTTTCGTGGAAAATTGAAAATTTCAATTTTGGAATTTTTGATTTTCACAATCCATCCTTCCGTAGTTTCATCCATTCATCTTTTCATAGATACAGTAAAACCTGTAATAGAAAGGCCTCTTAACATTTAACTTTGAGCTCATGTACCGTAAAACCTCTATTAATAGAAGGGCTCTCCGAAGGGGACTTGGAAAAATAGAAGGGCCGGTTCGTCTAATACAGGTTTTAAGGTATCTCGGATCCTTTCAAAGATTTGAAAAAAATGGCAATTGATAAACTGTTTACCATAAAATCACAAACATTTTATCAGTTAACATATTTTTGATAACTTGCATAGAAACTTGGAAAAATTAGCTCAAAATTTACAACATGGGCCCTTCTTTTGGCCCATACTCCAAGGGTACATCGAAAAAGGGTACATCACTCTTATAGGGTACATTGACTCAGAGGGTACATTGACTGATAGGGTACATCTGTGGAGGAGTTTGATAGGGTACATTTAAGCAACTCTCATAGGGTACATAGACGAAATACTCAAAGGGTACATCAAAAAATCTGAAAGGGTACATTGGTCTGATTTCGCACAGTTTTCGAATATTTGTAACTTAATGAGACGGACAAGTTTAATAACGAAGTTTCGGTCATTCATCGGATTATAAGCAATTTACTGATGCTCGGCGAGGTTTTGCAACGTGCTCCTCCTCAATCTTGAAAAGTACGCGCTTATTTCTCGATCACTTAGGGACGCTATTTCAAAACAATTTTAGTAATTTACCCGCAGAAAGCTTGAGCAGCGAGCTACACTTTTTTCTAGCCCAGGAAGATAAATAACTTCAAACAGATACAATGAAAGATACAATGTTCGTCCCTAAGTGATCGAGAAATAAGCGCGTACTTTTCAAGATTGAGGAGGAGCACGTTGCAAAACCTCGCCGAGCATCAGTAAATTGCTTATAATCCGATGAATGACCGAAACTTCGTTATTAAACTTGTCCGTCTCATTAAGTTACGAATATTCGAAAGCTGTGCGAAATCAGACCAATGTACCCTTTCAGATTTTTTCGATGTACCCTTTCAGTATTTCGTCGATGTACCCTATGAGAGTTGCTTAAATGTACCCTATCAGACTCCTCCACTGATGTACCCTATCAGTCAATGTACCCTCTGAGTCAATGTACCCTATAAGAGTGATGTACCCTCAATGTACCCCTTTTTGATGTACCCCCGGAGTATGGGCCCCTTCTTTTACAGGTTTTACAGTAATCTTTTTGAGATCAGCCTTTGAAATCCGTCCAATCTGCACTTGTTCCTGACGCCAGCAAACCCAAAAACATTTCTGTTCCCAAAAATTAAGTTTGCAGTCTTCAGTCTCCCACGTGACACAAAAATATGCCATTTTTCAAAAAATCCTCTCTCTTCTATGCATGTTTTTTGACAAAGAAAAGGGTCGCTAACGAGCTCACAGAGCTGAAATTGAGTTCGAGATTGTTTGGGTTGAAAACCAACCCAACAATTGAGAAAGAAGGAATTCTGAAAAAGGAGCCAATTCCTGTTCTTTGGGTTATTTCTGGCAGAATGGATCCCGAAACAACACTATTAATTCATTCGCCTACGTTTCGAGAAGAGTCATAAACCACCACCACCACCACCCTCATCATCTGGAGTAATGTAATAAATTCAAGAAAACATTGTCTATTATGCTCCACCAATGAGTCTCATATCTTTTTTGATCCCCAGATCCCCCGCAACTATAGTACTCTTTATGTTCGTGGAGTGTCCACTACTTTCTTCATTTCATATCTTCATCTCAGCTGTTCTCAAATGCCCCTTGGCTCTGCTCCCTGTCGGTCAATCCCTGAGCAACAAAAACATGTCATCAGTGTGATGATGATCGTGCAAATGAGATTGACTTTAGAGGCGCCGCCCACTTTCAAAACACCTGCTGTTCTTCTGTTCGTTTTCTGTATGACACTGTGATCAAATTTCCGTCTTGTTTTTATTTCGTGTAGATCTGACAAACGAAGTATAGTCATTCGATAGCATGACTTTTAGCCTCTTGTTACAATTCTACCTGGAATGTTATCTTCTATTTTTATAGAAGATGACTCCATTAAAAAATTTATTGAAGAACATATGCCGTCAAACCTCTATTAGAAGGATACCTTTAATGGAAAGGCCACCTCCAATAGAAGATCCCCCTTCAAAATGTGTTGTTTGAAATTAGAATTCCCGTACGTTTTCAGTGAAAAATGTTTAGGAATTTTAATATTTTTAAAAGAAATTTGTTGAAACACTCTTTTTTGCTCAAAAGCTGGCTCAATTTTGATGAAATTTACAGATTTTAATGAATTTTGAACAAGAATTCACCGATTTTTTTGATGAAAGTTTTGAAAAGATTGGCCGGAAGAATAGAAGGATCCCTTTAATGAAAGGACCCCTGTAATAGAAAAGCCCTCCGGAGGTGCCTTGGAACAATCGAAGGGCTTGCTCTTCTAATAAAGGGTTTGGGGTAGCCATGGTATGATGTAAATCAAATTGATGCTGACAATACTTTTCTTCTCTGAGATTCTTCCGTTCTAGTTCTCAATCTTTTCCATCCATACTGCTCGCTTTACTATATTAGCCTTCCTCCTAGACCTCTCGACGTCTCTAACCACTTTGGTATCTAGGTCACCGGCGACTGAAGCGTAGCATCCCCCAATTCCAAACTCGAAACGACTAATGCATTTTATTTTTGAATTGTTTAAGCCCCCGTTCGTCTAGACTCATTGCAAACGTCATTTCAATTCAAAATCATTAGTGAGTGGGTTGCAAATTAGGGTGAGAAATATTGCACAAATGGTATAAAAATAGTTAACAAATGGTATAAAAATAGCTACCTGTTTATAGGTTTGTTTAGAGAATTCACTTTTGTTTGAAATCCCAGCCAAATTTTGGAAGTAGATATTTTGAACCGAAATATTGACAATATGTTCTGTACGGCTTTCTCCAGTTTCATCCAAAGTTTCAGTCAGATTGGTTCAGTTTCTGAATTTTCGCGGAGTTTTTTGCCTTTTTTGACAGTGAGCTGAATAACCCCATTATATTTTTCACACCTTAAAAGTATCTTCGATCCTCTTCTCTAGTTCGCCAGGGTTTTTAAATCTAAAACGTTGGATACGAAAATCCTAGGTTCCTCTTTTTCTGAGGCGGAAGGTTTCTTAAAACTCCAACCATGTGTTCAGCTTGAAACTGACAAGAATCAGAAATCTTTGCTCTCTAAACTTGGTTTTCTGAACGAATGAAGCTTCGAAAATCCATAAAACAAAAATACCATCTAAGTACCACCCAAGAACAAGAGGTTCCCATCTATTTCATATAGCCATTCCACTCATTTTTCTTCTCATGTTCTCCATTCTTTCAACGCATATAACCAACAAAAATACAAACGAGCCAAAATGAAATAAATCAAATCGCCATCTTCCGCCTCGTCCTCTCACGTCGTCAACGAACGGCAGATGCGAATAACGACGGAAAGAAAGAAGAAAAAAGAAATGGTGACGTGTCATCATAGTGATTTAGGAGAGTGAGAAGTGCTGCTCAAAAGGCTCTCCTAGTAGTCTTCTTACTCATAAAATATGTTTTCACCTAATTTCCCCGAGTAGTCATCTCTGCTGCTCCATCAATGACTTCCCCACCTTTTCTTTTTTTTGTTTTTCTCCACTTTAGGCTTCATTGATATTCTAGAATTGTCTGGAATATTCCCCAACAACAAATTTCGACTTTGCAGAAAATGGCATTCGGAGGTCTTCTAGATGGTTTTCTCCAGGAGAAGTCACATTCACATGTGGCAGGATGTGGAAGGAAAGCATCGGCATTCAGCCAGCCAATGCGAAAGGATACTCTTTCAATGGTGAGTATTTCAGAATTAAAGGAGGCCAGACACCAAAAAAAAAAGTTTTCCTGATATTTTTCCTAGAGAACCCCCATGAGGGGTTGAACTCATGACAGGCAGCTCAGGGGTACAGCGCAGCTACCGGCTGAGCTACGGGGGCGCGAAGGCGCCTGCCGACCGATGGTCTACATAAGCGCGGCGCGATTTTGTCCCCCGAACTGTCCCCCGAAATTTTTGCTGTCTCGCCTCCTTTAAAGATGAAATTGTCAAATCAGTTAGTTACTTATCACTAGAGTAACTTCGGCTCTGTATGATTTGAACTTTATTTTGAGAATTGAATAGATTTCGCTTTTACCGTGCTTTTTAAATCTGATCATGCCCTAGAAAAATTGGGTCACGACCTAGAAAAATTAGGTCATGACCTAAAAAAATCTAGGTCGTGAACTAGAAAAAATTGGACCATGACCTAGAAAAATTGGGTCATGACCTAGAAAAAATTGGGCCATGACCTAGAAAAAATTGGGTCATGACCTAGAAAAATCTAGGTCGGGACCTAGAAAAAATTGGGTCATGACCTAGAAAAAATTGGGCCATGACCTAGAAAAAATTGGGTCATGACCTAAAAAACAAATTGGGTCATGACCTAAAAAAAAATCGTTTTTTATAATACTTTTTTTAAATACCAGATTTTTTTAAAGACCGGAATTTCATACTAGAGCCGACTTTTGTTCCTTTGCAGCATCTGGAGGCACTACGAATTGTTTACTAACTAGATTTCTATGGAAGTTTCCAAAGTTCCCGAAAGTAATTTTTCAATTCGAGTTCTGTTCCATTGATCCCTCATAACCCTTCGTTTCCTAGACCACACAAAACACAAAGTTCCTCGTGACCGGGTCAAAAGTTGGAAAATCCTTTTTTTTCCATTTTCTGAATAGGGACTGATGAACTTGACCCATTTTTGTTTGTGAGGTCAGAGAGAAGTCAAATTTCAGTCATATGTGCATATTCATGGAATGTTCGGCTCTTTTCTATTTAGTTTAGAGGTTCCAAAAATTTAGAGATCCGAAAAAAAATTAGAAGTCCTAAGAATAAAAAAATGTCCAAAATCGCACAGTACTAATGCTTTCAATTTTTTTTGGAACTTTCATTTGTTTTGGGACCTCTAAACTAAAAAAAACCAATTTTTCGAAGTTATTGTCTATGTATAACTAAATTTCTGTTTTGTGATTTTTTTTTGAAATATAATTATTGAATAGATTGAATTATCAGCAAATTTTACGAAGAAAATTTCCTTTATGAAGGAATCGACCTGAAAAAATTGAATTGATATAACTGAAAATTTATCGTCATCTGATACCAAAATTCATGTTATTGATAATCGTTTCAGTATCAAAATCGTGAAGTGCTGGCCAATAACCGAAAAGCGAGTAGCATGTCGATGGTTAATCACAAGATGAGTACATATTCTGCAGTTTCTGTCGATATCATACCAAAGTATTCTTGGCACGGATCGTCAGTTCGTTAGTTTATTTTTACCTTTGTACTATTCGTTTCAATTATTGACTCAAATTGCGCGTTTCGAAGAATATTTTGTTTCTTTTTTCGTTTTTTTTTTCAATTCCATTTCGTAACTCTTAAATTGCTGTTCATTATTGGCTTGTTTTTTTCTTCAAGTGCCTTTTCCGGGGCGTTAGCCCCCTCAAAAAAACTTGGGGTCTTTGGTGGTTTCTATCTAATTATCTTGTCTTTTTTGTTAAAGAACATCTCTGAAAATCTATTGTGCCTTTGAAAAGTTTGAAAAGTTTGAATTCTGATCATCCTAAGCACATCATTATTTTTCGACTTCCACCATAAAAAAGTGTATCTGACAGAAGAAGAAGAAAAAGCAATTTGATACATCTCTAGTTCTAGTTTTTCGAAATCTCGAAACATGACCAAAAAAGAACGATTCGCGCCTTTTCGCATGCTATCCACTCGAATTGTTTCTTTTTCTCTGAAGAAGAAGAAGAAGAGCTGATGCTTCTAAATGTCCCGTATGTTTGTTTAGAATTTTTGAGAAGAAAAAAGAAAAGAAAAGAGAACGACACAAGAAATTAGGAGAGAGAAAAAGTTGGTGAAAAGAGATTAATAGGAGTTAGAAAACGACTTTTCCGAGAAGATTCCTTCTTTTCCAACTGTCTAAATTTACACGCCTTCTAGTTGTTTTTTTTTTCATCGTCTGATGAAATTGCTTTTCTCTTTTGCCGAATAATTCAAAATTATTTGAATATTCCTAACTTTCTTTGTTCTTTGTCTACCAATTTTCCAAGAAAGTACTCGCTTTTTTTTTTAATTCTGAAGTCATTCTTGATTTTTGATTTCTCACTTTTCTCTCACGATTCGCCCACCAATAATGATATCTCCAATTATGTAGTTTCTGTAAAATCCAGCCAATTCTGAATATTCCAACAGAAGTCTAGACCCTCCCGCATTGTTGTTGCTTTCTGGAAAAACAAGTGATCTCAACTCTTTATACTCATTTTAAAGTTCCCAATCTATTATTCATGATTTTCAGTTTTGTTCTGTTCTAGATTACAACTGGGAACAAAAACATTGAAAAAAGTTTTGAACGTTTTTTTTCGTACCAAAATTTTCCCACAAAACGGGGGGCTCTGAAAATCTCCAGAAAGCAATATATTGTTTGCTTTCAGAAGGAAAGCTGTGACTGACTTGGTCATTTCATGAATTCCCATAAAATATGAACGACCGCTCTCTTTTTCCCGGAATACATACAACACACATCCGCCTTTGTTGTTGTTTTTGGTCAGAAAACCATGTTGCTTTTTTTGTTGGATAAGTTTGTCCGAATGAATAGCAAGGACTTTTAAAGAACACACATGAATTTTTGAATCCGATGTTCTGCGGACGTTAGGGGAAATAGAAGGGTCCTTGATCCGAAATTTGTCACATTCTGAGTGATTTGTGGTGGTATGTGTTGCATAATGTGTAAACTTGATTGGTGTCATGAGATAAGTGTCTACAATATTGTGATTGTTCGACATGTGTTCGACATTAAATTTCCAGTATCTAGTTGTAGACTGTATGACTTTTCTCTTACAGGCATTAAGAATGGCATTATTTTTTTTGGAATTATTCGTTTAAGAGAAGTCTCTGGCCGAAGTTTTTGTTTGGGATTTTTTAATTAAAATGTTCGCAAAGTTATGTATTGTCATAATTTTGCTACGAAAAAATCAGAAAGAAAGTTTGAAATTCCTGAAAACGCATTCGAAAGTTCTCATCGAAGAAGGTCGCTGAAATCTTAGTCCAAGGGCACTGTGTGCACTTTTTTTTTCCATTCAATTTTCCAAAATTTTTCGCTTTTCTGGTTTTTTCTCTATTTTCCAAAACAATGAAATATAACTTGAAAATACATACCTTCGGGAACATCAACTTACAGTATTTTCTCTATTAGAAGCCCGCCCGAACTGTCACCTTTGAGCCCAATTATCTTGGTTTCCATAAAAGATATCAAAATAGGTCAACTGATAAAAGATTTATCATAATAACACCAATATTTTATCAGTTTACAGATTATTGATATCTTTTAAAGAAACCGAAACAATCAAGCTTAAATTCAACGGATTGGCTGAAGAGGAAATAGGTAATTCAACATAATTTGGAATATCAGTTAATTAGTGATCAAGGAGGTTGTTTTTGACCTGTAAAACATTTTGACAATTTTATCTAACTTCAAACATCAATTTTTCAATCAAATGGTATCACCCGCCCTTTTCATAAATCCCATTTCTCTAGTCAATCCAGTAGTATAAAGAAAAGTTTGTGTCAGATCGAGGTGTCAACCGATCTCAATTACCCATCATTCTTCCTTGTTTCATTGTCTCAAAACAATGACGTCATTCTCATCCAATCATTAAGAGTAATTCCTCGACTCCTTGCTCTTCGTCTCTCCGTTCCAAAGTGATAAATTTCATCTTCTTCTTCTTCTTTTCCCCTGTTTCATTCAGACGACGTGTTGTCAGCTGTTCGCTAGAATACGAGTTGACCTGTGTTGATGCTCCTCGGTCCGCGCGAGAGTACTTCCCATAAATCAGTGTTGTGTTTATTTCATTCCACACCTAATTCCCTGTTCTTCTTCTTCTCTTTGTTTTCCTCATTTCATATTTTCTCATCGGTATCAATCTTTTTATTCGTTCATCCAGATGATAAATTCTGATAAATGAGTACTGATATTTCTTCCAATTTTGAGTGCCACAAGAAATTAATTCTTATTTTTAAGAGTAGCAGATATCCTTGTATTTTCAATTTCCCTATTTTTGAGCGTTCCTGGCTTCTGTGTCATTTCCGGGGTTATAATGTGTTGAGCATTCAGAAAGTGAGAAAAAATGATTTTCAAGTATTCAGTGAGCTAGAAACTTCATTAGATTAAGAGATTAGGGATCATTGATTATAAGGAACTCGCAAAGAATGAGGTTAGTTCCGTCTGGAGAAATTCTCGAATTATTCAATTAAACTACATAGACTAAAAATCCAAAAAAAAATTCATTCTCTCTTGTTATTGATTTCCGAAAAAAAGAACCAACTGAAAGTGACATTTCAGCCAATAAGTCAGAGCAGACTCCATCGTTTCCCGGCAACATAATTTTTCCTTTGTATTATTTTTCCGGAACTTCTTGGGACCAACGGGAGAATATTTTGAGAAGAAGTCTTTAAGCTTCTTTCTGCAGAAAAAAACCAATTTGTTTCTTTTGTTTTCTGGAGTTTGTAGGAGTGAAGTGTCTTTTAGAAAAATACTACAATTCTGTCACTTTCTAGAAAAATTATATTATGCGTATATTTCTGATAATTAAAAATTAAAAAGTCAAAAAACAGTAGGAGGTGTGTACTATTCCTTCTAGAACCTTTTTCTTTTGAATATTTGTTACAATGTCCCTTTAAACAAATTACCAAGCACTTTCAGATATTTGTCTGGAACAAAATATGTGTGTTGTTTACATCGGGTCTGCTCCAAATTAAGTTTATTCAAGTCACCTCAAATTGTGCACATTTTTAAACTTTGCCCTGAACTTTCAACCAAAAAGTGCTCGAGTCCTCCCACCTCCAAAAATTCTTCTTTTTTGCCGTTTTTTTTTCAAAGAATTTACATAAAACGAGGCAGACAAACTATGACCAAATTATCGTTTTCCTTCTTTTTCCTGACCTCCAACTTCCGCGTTTTTGGTGCCTCTTCTCCTGCTAACTCCTCTGTTTTTTTCTTTTCTTTTACTATTTTTCCGTTTTTTTTTCATTTTTTAATTACTCCCAACTCTCTAATTACTTCTCCTTTCCCCATTTTTCAAAGAGTGGAACTTTTTTGCACCAGATGGAAAAAATTCAGTTCATTTATAGTTTTTAGAGATCCCGAACCCCATAAAGCATAAAAACTGTGCACCCATTCGCTTAAAAAAGAAAACCGGAAGTTTTCAAAATACACTTCCGTTTAGAGAGAAAACGAAAAAAAAAACCATTGAACCTTTTTAAGGAAAAAAATGTTTCTGAATTGTGTGGAAGTAATTGAGTTTTATAGAATGTCATAGGAACAAAAATGAATAGAATGAAAGGGGAAAAGTTGGAGGAAGAAGTAGGCGGAACCAGAAAAAAGGTATGTGCTATGGTGTCGGATCAATTAGATTGAGTTATTTTTGTTTGATTGCCTTTTGAATTAAAACTTTCAACTTTTTTCACGATTTTCAGTTGGTTCTCTGGTTTTTTAGAGAAACAGATACCGTAAAACCCTGTATTAAAAGGGCCGGCCCTTCTATTGTTCCAAAGTATCTCTGGAGGCCCCTTCTATTACAGATGCCCTTCAATTAGAGGGTGTTCTTCTATGTTTCCGGTCATTTTTTTCCGAAAATTTTCCACAGACAATCGGTGAACTGTTTTTCAGAATTCATCAAAACCACTTCTAATAGAGGGGCTGTTCTAATACAGGTTTTACAGTATCTTTTTGTCTGTTTTCCGCGTTTTTGTAAAGGGAAATTGGGGTTCCCAAATTTGGAAATTTCGAAACTTCCAAATTCGGAAAATTCCAAAGATCCCAATTGGTCATTCCGAACAACCCTGGTTTGTGATTAGACTGTCATTTCCTGGCCAAACCTCCAAACTTTTATGATGGCACGTACGACGGTCCCTACAAGTGACATCATCGCTCATAATACCAATTTTCATTATTTTCCTCACACTTCATCTTATTCCTTTCTTACATTTTTTCCTGTTTCTGTTATTATTTTTTCAAATCTTCTTTTTTTCTCCTTCATATTCTTCTTTTCCCTTCTTGTTTCCTCTTTACCGAAAACAATGAAAACTTTGGTCCCATTCTCTCGTGTCTCTTATCAAAGAGTAGAACAAAAGAGTCCGTAGGTGTTCGAGAACCCTTCAACATCTCCTGAAGTCTTTCTTCTCTCTTTCTTCTGCTTCTTCTTCTTCGTCTCCTATTGCCCCCGATCCAATTGAATTTCAAGTGTTTTCTATCTAAATGCCCCTTTTTCC